ATTTGTGAAGCCTGCCACCCAATGGGAAGGAATGATCTCGTATGTGTTATTGAGGTGGTTGAAATCAATCCCTGAATCTGTTGGGGGAGCAATACTATTTTTACTTCATTAAAAATAATGATCTGGACAGAAAACTGGGCTAATAGTGTGGTTTTTAAAGGTCACAAATGGACCCCGTTCTTCACACAGCAGTTCATTTGATTAACAGCAGCATGCTGTCTTCTCAGATGGGAGACAGTGTGACCTCTGTATGTCGGGAACAAGGAATGGTTACTGAGCAAGCACAAAGGTTCATATGGACCTTTTGGAACTGATGACACACCTCAAAAATGCAGGTGGGCTTATTTGTATGCTCTTGCAACATACATACCACTGAGATGCATGGTGATAGGCCTGTGTGTCTGTCTATCAGGCCCAGCCCAAGGCGTTTTGGCACATGAGGTGAACCACAAAATGGTGCCTCAACAACAGGGAAGAAGGTGAGAGTGAAGAGCTACCTCAGGAACAAGGGCCGATAAAGATTTACATTGGGATTTGCTGCCTCTGTGGATTCTGCTGCCTGAGGCAGTTGCCTCACCTTGCCTCATGGGTGGGCTTCCTACTGTCTACTGTCCCACTACTGTATATATAGGGCTTCTACTTCGAACTGGCTCAAGGAGAACAAGGTCAGGTCTTCTCAGCAAGGGTAGACAGCCTGCAACCCTAGGGCCACATGTGACCTTTGAGCGTAGAGACATAGGAAGCTGCCTTATATTGTGTTAGACCATTGGTCCATTTTGCTCAGTACTGTCAGCACTGATTGGCAGCACCCCTCCAGGATCACAAATTCCAACCCTACCCAGAAGATGCTGGGGACTGAACCTGGGATGTTCTGCATGCAAAATGTACGCTCTATCACTGAGTGTAATTCCAATTGGCCCAATTTCTAAACTGTCCCGATTTCAGAAGTACTCTGCAAACAATTGTGCCCCTCTTGTAGCAGCCTGTTTGGTGGGGAGGGAGAGAGGGAAGGGGTGGCAGAAGGAAAGACAGTGAATGATCAGAGTGGCAAAAACAGAGCGATGGGGTGGCCCCACACCTGTCTGGCTCCTGGCCCACCCACCTCAGTCTTTAGACCTACCCACATGCAGCCCCCAAAAGATTTCTCCAGAGGTAATATAGCCCTTGACATAAAAAAGGTTGCCCACGCCACATTTTAAAAGAACAAATGCAGAAAAGGTAGCAAAATGGCATGTTTGCAAACTGCTTATTTGGCTGACACACACACACACACACACACCCCGGCCACCCTTCCAGTATTGCCTGAATCCAAGCCAGTGTGGAAAGTTGCTCTACTTGATGTCAGAAAAGCAGATTCTGCTGATGCAGAGATTCCAAAGGGCATGAAAAAGTTATGGGCTCATGTGGGGAGGGTTTGTACTTTTTTTCTAAGCACCCCCACTCCCCGTAGAGAAGCTTGCATGAATACCAAGGGAAAGCTTAATGCCACCAGACCATGACTGAAGGCATGCAGATTTTGTGATGATGCACCAGGTGCCTCTGCCATTCAGGAGGTAAGGATGAGATCTGCTAAGATGCCCTAAGGCGGCCTCAAAGCAACTCTCATTTTAGTACTGGTGGAAGGGGCATCTGAACAGGAGAACAATCCCTTACATTCATTTCCTTCTATTGCATTTGCTTATTTACAATAATATTTACATGCCCTGTTCCCAAATTCCAAAAATGTTCCCTTTATTATGAAAATGCACAAGTGAATTCTGCAAGAGCTTTGGCACTGATGCTCTGCTAAATCAAGCTCCCCACAGACAAAAACCTCCTGTCTTTTTAATAGGTCCCTGTTCCTTCCTGTCTGCCACAAAGAGCTAAAGGTGAAACTGAGAAAATAACCTTAGCAGTCAAGCCTTACAATAGCTTTGAGGTCTGGATAAAACAAAAAGCACACATATACTTTCCTCACTTTTTTTATTAGCAAGAGCTAAAATGCTGCAGAAAGGAAGAGTTTCAGCTCCCTCTTCTGGACAAAGTTCTTCATTTCACAACCATTTTCCTTTACCAAAAAAGGAATAAAATACAAAGCTGAAGCTGATGTCAGGGTCAAAATGACCCTCTCCTTTGCCATCTCTCTCTGAATAAAGTCTACCTCAAAAGGCTGTTGGGAGGATAAGGTGGGTAGGGGGGAGAACAATGCATTGTGCTCTGAGCGACGGGTCAAAAGAGCAGTGTAACAATCTAAGAGTATACAAAAAGCATTGCAGAGTGCCAATGGTTCTAGGGTGTTTCTGTTCCTGGAGGGGAGATAGTGTGCTGGTCCCGAGGGTTAACCGTGCGGCGAGGTCCGAGTCCAGTCCGAGGTCAAGGGTGTGGTATGGAGGCTGTCCGTCAAAGCTGAAGCTGGGTCCAAGGCAGGGAGTCGGGTGAGGTCAGGAACTCTGGCAGAAGAGCGGGACAGGGTGCAAGCAGGAACAGGCTACCAACAATGTTGCTCCCGCAACCTGGGACTGGCCTGGCTGGCTTTTATCTGCCCCGAGGCATAGGGCGGTCCCAGTCCACAGGTGACTCGCCTCTCCTAGCCTGGAGGCGAGCACTCCTCCTGCAGGAACTTAGTTCCCTCTGCCTCTCTGCCCTGAGCCTCTGCAGCTCAGGAGAGGCTGGAGGGTTACCGGACCCAGAGGCAACCTCTGCTTCCCCTGCTGGGGCTGAGAGTGGAGCACCTGCAGGCAATAGGTTCTCCATCACCTCAGGAGCCCGAGCAGACTCAGCTGGTGCCTGCACCTGAGGATCCAGCACAGGTGAGGACCCTCAGCCCCGGCTCAGCTGGTTCTGGAGGCGGGGACTCCTATGCAGGCTGGGATGCAGGCTGCTTGGGGATAACAACAACAACAACAACAACAACAACAACAACAACTTATTATTTATACCCCACCCATCTGGCTGGGCTTCCCCAGCCACTCTGGGCAGGCTTCCAACAAAATATTAAAATACAGGAATGCATCAAGCATGAAAAGCTTCCCTAAACAGCAGTGGCGTAGCGTGGGGGGTGCAGGGGGGCCGGCCGCACCGGGCGCAACATCTGGGGTTAGGGCAAATCCACAGGTTAGGGGGCGCAAATCCACGGGTTAGGGGGCGCAAATTACTTGCCTTGCCCCGGGTGCTGACAACCCACGCTACACCACTGCTAAACAGACCCTAAATGGAGGTTGGCTCTGGGAGCAATGGCAATGAGGACCCATTCCAATGGGTGCTGGTGATTCAGGGTCCCTCCGTTTTTTTGGCGATGAGGGAGCATTAGCATCACTGTGCTGAGGACCTACTCAGCTTGGGACCAGCCCCAAACACAGTAACTGCAATTTTTAAAACTCGCGTTTTAAAGAAACAAGCGTAGTGTACTACATTTCAAGCCAGGCTGTTGCAGCATATATACATTTTTAAATGCACAACTGCCCTCTGGTGGACAAATGCTAGCTTTACGCAAGAGCTATATACATTTTGGATGTCATTTAGTTCTGTAATCTTGGCTCTGTAGATGCAGTTGGGGCGTTTTCTTCTTTCAAGCATTCAAAGAAGTGCATGTGCAAAGCAGAGGGAAATGGTTATTTATACCGGTATGCTTTTGCAGTACAGACCAGCAAAGTGTCAGCAGCTGAGTAAATGTGTGTCAGTTAAACCCCCACCCCCAACATTTTTAAATATTCTCCTTTGTGTACAGGGGAGATCTGTACAGAGAGCACTGCAATATTAGTGTACTAATATGGAGGTTAAACATGTTTTCATTTGAAAAATGTTTGCACCACACTTCTGGAACAAGTGCCGAGCTGGAGAAAGAACCCCTGTTTAAAAAAGAAGCTAAAATGAGAACTTTCTAAGGGCCATGAGCTTTGATAAGTGAAATATAGTTTGAACAAATGTGTGCAAAGCCTTTAGATGAATTGTTGCAACTCAAGGGGGCTGGATGTTCTTATGTGCTAAGAAGTGGAACTGGCTAGTAAAAATGGTTTGTGGGCTAGCAGGTACTTTTTATGGATCTACTTGCAAGACTGAAATTCATATTCTTCCTCATCTGAGGACACATCCATTCAAAGCATTCCAATTCCACTTTAACAGTCATGGATCCTGGGAACTGTCATTTGTTGAGGGCGCTGAACTCACATACCTGCAGTTCTCAGCACCTTCAACAAATTAAATTCCCCAGGGTTCTCTGTGTCTGTTAAAGTGGCATAAGAGCGCTTTACGTGTATGGTGTGGATGTGACCTATAACATTTACTTGGCTTCACCAGTGCTGTGTTGTTGTTTAGTGGTTTAGTTGTGTCCGACTCTTTGTGACCCCATGGACCAGAGCACGCCAGGCACTCCTGTCTTCCACTGCCTCCCAAAGTTTAGTCAAACTCATGCTGGTAGCTTCTAGAACACTGCCCAACCACCTCGTCCTCTGTCATCCCCTTCTCCTTGTGCCCTCCATCTTTCCCAACATCAGGGTCTTTTCTAGGGAGTCTTCTCTTCTCATGAGGTGGCCAAAGTATTGGAGCCTCAGCTTCACAATCTGTCCTTCCAGTGAGCACTCAGGGCTGATTTTGTTAAGAATGGATAGGTTTGATCTTCTTGCAGTCCATGGGACTCTCAAGAAGAAGAAGAAGAAGAAGAAGAAGACGAGTTTGGATTTGATATCCCGCCTTTCACTCCCTTTAAGGAGTCTCAAAGCGGCTAACATTCTCCTTTCCCTTCCTCCCCCACAACAAACACTCTGTGAGGTGAGTGGGGCTGAGAGACTTCAAAGAAGTATGACTGGCCCAAGGTCACCCAGCAGCTGCATGTGGAGGAGCAGAGACGCGAACCCGGTTACCCAGATTACGTGACTACCGCTCTTAACCACTACACCACACTGGCTCTCTTTTTTTATTTTTTTTTGGCTTAAATTATTGCATATTATTCCATTTCTAAGAATGGTAAAAATTATAAATACATAATTTGTAGTAAAAGCCTTTTTGCCAAAAAAAAATATTTAGCACATTCTTTAAAGAACCACAAAGTTGTAGAAACAATGCTATAAAGACGTGGGGGGAAAGGGAGGGTTTCCTCCACTAAAACTAAAAAGTGCATAACCAACATCACGGTGCTATCTCTAAGGCAGGCAGGTGTTACTGTCACCTGTGCAAAGCAGATTTTTCATTACAGTACTAAAAAAGCAGTTGAGAAGATCAGAGGGAGAGGAGGGGGGAGAAGAAGAAGGAGGAGGAGGAGGAGGAGAAGGAGAAGGTGAAGAAGAAGAAGAAGAAGAATGCATAGCACTCTAAGTCAGAGGTACTGAGGCTTGGCTTCTCAGGGCACTCAGGTCAGCATGTCCCAAAGGCAGCAGCAGCACAGCGCAGTCCAACACGCTGTCAGGCAGGTACTTTCGGCAGAGTTATCCCTTCGCTGCTCTTCCACAACATACACTGTATTCTTAGGTCCATCTGCATAGACTGGTCCCGGAGGTGGAGGAGCATTCTGCCATCCATAGGCTGGGTAGCCTTGGTAGCCTGGCTGTCCTACTGGATATGGCCCTGCGGGCTCTGGTGCATAGCCAGGGTAGGGACCAGGAACAGGTGGTCCACCTGGTTGATGGGTGTAAGGTGGGTATGGGGCAGTTGGGCCCGGGCCAGGATATGGCGGAGGGTTTTCGTAGTTCATGTAGAATGCCAAGTGTTTCCTGCCCCGCGCAAAGGCTCGTCCGCCGCCCGCTCTCCTCGCCCTCGCCGACTCCGGGTGCTGCTGCTGCTTCGCTCGACGGCAAGTGGGCGCGCGATGGGTAGCAGCGCCTCTAGAGCGCCTCTCCTCCAGCACCATAATTCAAAAGCATCAATTCTTTGGCGATCAGCCTTCTTTATGGTCCAGCTCTCACTTCCATACATCACTACTGGGAAAACCACAGCTTGAAGTATACGGACCTTTGTTGGCACACTACCAGTGGTGCAGTGAGTACTAAATGCAGGAGGAAACTGATACTTGCAGATACACATTCAGGAAATGTTTTGCCTCTGAAGTGGGCTTGGATGCAGATTAGGAGGGGTGAGAACCATAGCTCAGTGATAGAGCCCAGTCATTTGCACACAGAAAGTCCCAGATAAAATTTCTGTCACCTCCATTTAAAAGGATGTCAGGTAGCAAGCAATAGGAAAGGCCTCTCTGCCGCCTGAGTCCCTGAAGAGCCACTGACAGACACATCTACTGGACTAGATGGAGAAAATGTCTGATTCACAACAAGGCAGCTTCCTGCATTCCACTTCCCACATGAATGCCTTCCTTCTGTACAGATGCTGCTGTCGTCAGTGGCCTGTACTTGAGTCTAGACCAGGGATGGGGAACTTTTTCCCTTCGGGGTAATCTGTTGGAGGCCCTATGCCAGGGGTCAGCAACTTTTTCAGCCGGGGGCTGGTCCACCATCCCTCAGACTATGTGGGGGGGGGGGCGGACTATATTTTGAAGAAAAAAAATGAACGCATTCCCAAGCCCCACAAATAACCCAGAGGTGCATTTTAAATAAAAGCACACATTCTGCTCATGTAAAAACACCAGGCAGGCCCCACAAATAACCCAGAGATGCATTTTAAATCAAAGCACACATTCTACCCATGTAAAAAGACACTGACCGTCTGCAGGCCAGATTTAGAAGGTGATTGAGCCGGATCCGGCCCCTAGGCCTTAGGTTGTCTACCCCTGCCTTATGCAGTGGGCTCAGCCACCAGTTCTCTCTCTCTCTCTCTCTCTATCTCTCTCTCTCTCTGCCAATCCCTCTCTCTGTCATCCCTCCCCTCTCCCTCTTTTTCTGCCATTTTCTCCCTCCCAGCCACCCTTTCTTCTCTCTCTCTCTCTCTCTCTCTCTCTCTCTCTCTGTGTGTGTGTGTGTCTCCATTCTCTCTCTCTCAGCCACCTTTTCCACACCCCTTCTCTCCCCCTCATCACTTTTTCCAGGAACAAGACAAACACAAATATCTGTGGAAGGCAACTGTGCCCACTAGGGACTCCAGTGAAGCTTCTTCTTCCCTTCTCAGCATGGGGACATAGCAGATTGCTAGATAGGAGGAATATGGCTGTCTCTTCTGCTCCACCTACCTCCACAGACTGTCTAGGACAAATGCCAGCTCCCTCGGTCTGAAAGTGGAGATGAGAGCTGCACCTCATAGTTGAATTTGAATGAACCATCCAGGGCTCCATATTGACCTTACAGTCAATATGGGGTGGATGAAAGTACCAAGGGGCAGGGCTAAGGAGGGGAATTTGCAGAGCAAGCCAGTTCTAGCTTATAGGCCAGTGTTTCTCCATACCTGGTCTAGGCCAGTGTTGGGCTCATTGGCTAGGATAAACTGTCATGGAACTTCAGAGCATACTTGCTCCTTGTGATTGGACCCTCATTACCTTTTTGGTAATGACATCGCCTCGAAATGAAGACCACTGACAATGGTGGTGGCTTTAGGATATATAGTTTTATTTACAAATATATATGACCTGAAGACAAGATGGAAAGGCGCACAGCAGCAACACTCCAACAGATCTTGCTTCCCCATTAGATTTCTAGGAGGAGTCCCCAAAAGCCACAGTTTGGGATTCAGCACAGAACAAGACAAGCCTCTAAGTCTCTTTTCCAGCTCCCAGCTTCAGCCCAGACTAAAACAAAGACTAGATCTTTGACCTATTGTTCTCCAGCCAGGTATTGGGAGCAGAGGAAGCTTACCCTCTCCTGGAAGAGTACCATGAGGCCATTGTCTGGCCATGGTAGCATGACCACTCTTTAGTAATGCAGCTAAGTAAGGTAAAGGACCCCTGGATGGTTAAGTCCAGTCAAAGGCGACTATGGGGTTGCGGCGTTCATCTCGCTTTCAGGCCGAGGGAGCCGGCATTTGTCCACAGACAGCTTTCTGGGTCATGTGGCCAGCATGACTAAACTGTTTCTGGCACAATGGAACACCGTGATGGAAACCAAAACACAGGTTCCCTAGTCCTGCTTCAAAGTCTCAACCACTCTGTCTCCTTTTGCCTTCTTCCTGTTTCTTTTCCTGTTTTATTCCCTCAGCTGTCCTTCCACTTCTCCCAGGCCTTGCATTTTACTGTTTGCCCATCATATTGGGATACTGGGATGGAGCAAGGAAGACCCTGGAGCAGGTAACTGGCTGGAATGGCAGTCTGCCACAAACATACAGTGACATGCTTCCATTATGTGGATTTGCACATCTCCTGTGCTTCTGGGCAATGACATTTCATTGTTGCAATCAGGGTGCATGGAACATGAGCTGCATGGATTGTCCTTTGCTAGAGTTACCTACAGCAATAGACAACCTCTCAGATGTGACTTGAGTGGTGGGTATACAGCTTCATCTTCACTCTCGAAGTAGAAATTCTGCAAAACCCATTACCAGTAAGACCAGCATCATGTACGTAACAGTGTAGCCTGACCACAAAATTGGAAGGGACCAGTTTATAGGGGAGCCTAATGGACTGCTAGAGTGAAAAACAGCTCCAGATAAGGTGCAAGGATGGTTCTGCATGTACAGCAAAAAATTTGGGTTGAATAAGTGTTTTCAAGGACTACGGTTGGATGAAGATATGGTGAGGTGCTGGGGTGGTTGGCTGGAGCATGAAGAAGCTAGGATGATGTATTTTTCCTATATTAAAAAGGTAAAGGACCCCTGGATGGTTAAGGTGACTCTGGGGTTGTGGCGCTCATCTCGCTTTCAGGCCGAGGGAGCCGGCGTTTGTCCACAGACACCTTTCCGGGTCATGTGGCCAGCATGACTAAACCACTTCTGGCACAATGGGACATCGTGACGGACACCAGAGCGCACGGAAATGCTGTTTACCTCCCCACCGCAGCAGTACCTATTTATCTACTTGCACTGGTGTGCTTTTGAACTGCTAGGTTGGCAGAAGCTGGGACAGAGCAATGGGAGCTCACCCCGTCATGGGGATTCAAACCGCCATCCTTCTATCGGCAAGCCCAAGAGGCTCAGTGGTTTAGACCAGTGTTTCCCAACCGGTGTTCCGCGGCACACTAGTGTGCCGTGAGACACCGGCTGGTGTGCCGTGGGAGGGAGGCGGGCGAGTCGGGCGCCTAGGAGAGAACAAAACCAAGTGAGCAGCGCGCGAGAGGGAAGCGACCCGAAAAAGAAGCGCGTTCGGAGTCCGGAGGCACTTTTGGGGCTGCGTACGAAGGGAGGGGGGGCACGGACGGCGGAAGGGGGCGGGGCGCGGTTGCAGAAACCCGCCAATGCTTCCACCTCATTGGGAAAGGGAAGGGGTTGGGCCACCTAAAACTCTCCGCCGGGGCCACATCCTGCCTCCCAGCCCCCTTTCCTCCACCCACGGAGGGAGGGATGTTTTTAACACCCCCCCCCCGCTCACAACCCTTTGGTAGCGTTTCTCCAATCTGAGGCGAGCGCCCGCCGACGCCCCCTTCCCCTGCTCAGTCGCGCAAAAACCGAAGTCTCCTCCCTACCCCTTATTCCCTCAAACCCCGTTTCCATAAGGGGGGGGGGGAATAACCCCTTCCGTCGCGCGCAAAGCCCAGCTCCCTCCGCCCTTCGCGGTCTCCTCAGCACTTCAGCCAGCCGTTTACACTCTCGGAGCCACTGGGCAAAACTCGCTCTCAGAAGCGCGCGCGCGCGGAGAGAAAGAGAGAGGGAAACAAAGTTAACTTGTGGGGAGAGAGAAAGAGCGAGCGGGAGCTAACTTGTGTCCAAAGGCAGATACAAAGTAGCCCCCCCCGCCCCGAAGGCGACCTCTCTTGCTCTGCTCCTCTGGGGTGGGGAAACCAACTCCACCACGCGGAGCAGCCCCGAGGCGGGGAATTTCGCCCCTTCGTAATGTATGCATGTAAATGAGGCGGGCGCAAGGGGTGGGCGCGGAGAGGAACTCGCGCCTCTGAGGCCGCCGCCTCCTTCTCCTCCTCCTCCGCCCCCCCCTCAAACCCAGGCGGCGGCGGCGGCAGGAGGCAGCAGCGGCAATAACAGAAGCAGCTGCGCTGACAACAACACGTGTTCGCTCGGGCACCATGGAATTCGAGGAGCTGGGGATTCGGGAGGAGTGCGGCGTGTTCGGGTGTATCGCCTCCGGCCTGTGGCCCACGGAGCTGGACGTGCCCCATGTGATCACGCTGGGGCTAGTGGGGCTGCAGCACAGGTAGGGGACACGGCGGTGGGGGGGGAGACGGTCTGGGGAAGCGGGGGGAGGGTGGGTTGCTTGCGAGACAGCGGAGGAGGAGGAGGCCGGCATGTCCGGGCAGCAGCAGCAACAGCAGCAGCAGCAACTCCCGGCGACGGCTCCTCCTCCGCCCGCTATCGCCGCCGCCTCAGCTGCCGCCGTCCCTCAGTCCCTCGCTCTGCTGCCTCCTCCCACCCCGGCAAGGGGAAGGGAAAAAACTTTCACTTTTGTGCGTCCCTCCCGGCGTGACGCTGCGCGCTGACGTCACGGGGCGGGGCTTTAATGGTGGTGTGCCGCGAGATTTTTTTCCGGTAAACAGGTGTGCCGTTGCCCAAAAACGTTTGGGAAACACTGGTTTAGACCATAGCACCACCCTTGTCCCATTTTTCCTATATAGGGTGTATGTTAATGGATATGCTCTCACAGACTGTTTTGGACTCTGTGCTGTAGTGCGTTCCTGAATGAAAGCCTGACTAATTGGGAATCTGGTTTGAGCCTCTGTTCTAAACCCACAAAGAGAATTTTCTCCCACACACTGCATACATGGATCACCAGAAAGAAGCAATGGCTGGCTGTGGGCACCATGATCCGTAAAATTGGTCCTTGCATGTAGCATTTTTGAGTTGTCGT